AAAATTCTGGAATTTTGGCATTCGCGGTTGGGTTTGGGCTGATTTTAAATTGAATTTTTTTTCTGTTTTTATTTATTTTATTTCACTTTAAATTGAATTTTTTATCTATTTTTATGTCCTTTTATCTCAATTTAAATTAATTTTTTTATCTCTTTTTATCTCATTTTATATTGAATTTTTTATCTGTTTTTAGCTCACTTTAAATTGAATTTTTATCTGGTTTTATTTATTTTATCTCACTTTAAATTGAATTTTTTTATCTGTTTTTTATCTATTTTTATCTTATTTTAAATTGAATTTTTATTTGTTTTTTGTCTCTTTTTATCTCAATTTAAATTGAATTTTTTATCTCTTTTTATCTCATTTTAAAGGGAATTTTTTCCTGTTTTTTATCTATTTTAGCTCATTTTTAATTGAATTTTTTATCTATTTTTTATCTCTTTTTATCTCATTTTAAATTGAATTTTTTATCTCTTTTTATCTCTTTTTATCTCATTTTAAAGTGAATTTTTTTCTGTTTTTCATCTATTTTACTCTTTTTAAATTGAATTTTTTTGTCTCTTTTTAAATTGAATTTTTATCTCTATTTAAATTGAATTTTTATTTGTTTTTTATCTATTTTATCTCATTTTAAATTGAATTTTTTATCTCTTTTTATCTCATTTTAAAGTGAATTTTTTTCTGGTTTTTATCTATTTTAGCTCCTTTTAAATTGAATTTTTTGTCTCTTTTTAAATTGAATTTTTATCTCTTTAAATTGAATTTTTATCTCTCTTTAAATCGATTTTTTATCTCTTTTTTACTGGTTTTATCTCACTTTAAACTGAATTTTTAAACTGAATTTTTATCTCATTTTAAATTAAATTTTTACCATTTTTACCTCATTTTAAACTGAATTTTTATCAATTTTTATCTCACCTTAAATCGAGTTTTTATCAATTTTTACCTCATTTTAAACTGAATTTTCATCAGTTTTTATGTCATTTTAAACTCAATTTTTATCTCAATTTAAATCAAATTTTTATCAGTTTTTATCTCACTTTAAATCGAATTTTTATCATTTTTTATCTCCCTTTATATTGGAATTTTTTATCTGGTGTCATCTCCCGTTAAACCGAATTTTTTTCTCATTTTAAATTCAATTTTTACCCTTTTTATCTCAATGTAAAGTGAATTTTTACCATTTTAATGTCAATTTAAATCGAATTTTTATCAGTTTTTATCTCACTTTAAATGGAATTTTAATCTTGATTTAAATGGAATTTTTATCTCAATTTCAATCTAATTTTTACCATTTTAATCTCATTTTAAACTGAATTTTTATCTCAATTTAAATTGAATTTTTACCATTTTTACCTCATTTTAAATCGAATTTTTACCATTTTTATCTCAAATTAAATTGAATTTTTATCTCAATTTAAATGGAATTTTTATCAATTTTTATTTCAATTTTAAATTGAATTTTTATCTATTTTTACCTCATTGTAAACTGAATTTTTATCAGTTTTTACCTCACTTTAAACTGAATTTTTATCAATTTTTACCTCACTTTAAGTAGAATTTTTATCATTTTTACCTCATTTTAAAGTGAATTTTTATCAGTTTTTATCTCAATTTAAATTGAATTTTTATCATTTTTATCTCCTTTTAAACCGAATTTTTATCTCAATTTAAATCGAATTTTTCCCATTTTTATCTCACTTTAAAGTCAATTTTTATCTCAATTTTAAATCGAATTTTTATCATTTTCATCCCACTTTAAACTGAATTTTTATCATTTTTATCTCACTTTAAACTCAATTTTTATCTCATTTTAAACCGAATTTTTACCATTTTTATCTCAATTTAAAGTGAATTTTTACCATTTTTATCTCCTTCTAAAACCGAATTTTTTTCTCATTTTAAATTCAATTTTTACCATTTTAATCTCAATTTAAAGTGAATTTTTACCATTTTTTATCTCACTTTAAAACCGAATTTTTTTCTCAATTTAAATCGAATTTTTATCAATTTTTACCTCACTTTAAATCCAATTTTTACCATTTTTATCTCATTTTAAATCAAATTTTTATCAATTTTTACCTCACTTTAAACCGAATTTTTACCATTTTATCTCAATTTAAAGTGAATTTTTACCATTTTTTATCTCCTTTAAAACCGAATTTTTACCTCAATTTAAATCGAATTTTTACCAATTTTTACCTCACTTTAAACTGAATTTTTATCAGTTTTTACCTAATTTTAAATCGAATTTTTATCATTTTTATCTCAATTAAAATCGTATTTTTACCATTTTTATCTCAAATTAAATTGAATTTTTACCATTTTTAATCTTCCCTTTAAACCGAACTTTTATCTCAATTGAAATCGAATTTTTATCAATTTTTATTTCATTTTAAATTGAATTTTTGGTATTTTTTATGTCCCTTTAAACCGAATTTTTACCTCAATGTAAATCAAATTTTTATCAATTTTTACCTCAATTTTAATCGAATTTTTACCATTTTAATCTCAATTTAAATCGAATTTTTATCACTTTTTTCTCAATGTAAAGTGAATTTTTACCATTTTTTATCTCCCTTTAAACCGAATTTTTACCTCATTTTAAAGTCAATTTTTACCATTTTTACCTCATTTTAAACTGAATTTTTATCAATTTTTGCCTCACTTTAAATCGAATTTTTATCAATTTTTACCTCATTTTAAACTGAATTTTTATCAGTTTTTATCTCAATTTAAAGTGAATTTTTACCATTTTTATCTCAAATTAAATTGAATTTTTATCAATTTTTACCTCAATTTAAACCGAATTTTTACCATTTTAATCTCAATTTAAAGTGAATTTTTACCATTTTTTATCTCCTTTTAAACCGAATTTTTATCTCAATTTAAATCAAATTTTTATCAATTTTTACCTCAATTTAAATCGAGTTTTTACCATTTTATCTCACTTTAAATCGAATTTTTACCACTTTAATCTCAATTTAAAGTGAATTTTTACCATTTTTTATCTCACTTTAAACCGAATTTTTATCTCAATTTAAATCAAATTTTTTTCAATTTTAATTTAATTTTAAATGGAATTTTTACCATTTTTATCTCAATTAAAATTAAATTTGTGTCTCACTTTAAATCGTATTTTTACCATTTTTAATCTCCTTTTAAACCGATTTTTTTCCTAATTTTAAATCGAATTTTTATCAATTTTCACCTCACTTTAAATCGAATTTTTATCATTTTAATCTCAATTTAAAGTGAATTTTTACCATTTTAATCTCAATTTAAAGTGAATTTTTATCTCAATTTAAATCGAATTTTTATCAATTTTAATTTCATTTTAAATCAAATTTTTACCATTTTTTCTCCCTTTAAAGCGAATTTTTTTCTCATTTTAAAGTCAATTTTTACCATTTTTATCTCAAATTAAATTGAATTTTTATCACTTTTTATCTCAATTTAAATCGAATTTTTACCATTTTTATCTCCTTTTAAACCGAATTTTTTTGTAATTTTAAATCGAATTTCTATCAATTTTTTCCTCAATTTAAAGTGAATTTTTATCACTTTTTATCTCATTTTAAACTGAATTTTTATCAGTTTTTATCTCAATTTAAAGTGAATTTTTACCATTTTTATCTCCTTTTAAACCGAATTTTTACCTCAATTTATATCAAATTTTCATCAATTTTTACCTCATTTTAAACCGAATTTTTACCATTTTTATCTCAATTTAAAGTGAATTTTTACCATTTTTTATCTCCTTTTAAACCGAATTTTTACCTCCATTTAAATCGAATTTTTATCAATTTTTACCTCACTTTAAATCGAATTTTTATCATTTTTACCTCAATTTAAACCGAATTTTTATCAATTTTTATCTCAATTTAAAGTGAATTTTTACCATTTTTATCTCCCTTTAAACCGAATTTTTTCCTCATTTTAAATTCAATTTTTACCATTTTTATCTCAATTTAAACCGAATTTTTACCATTTTTATCTCAATTTAAACTGAATTTTTATCTCATTTTAAATTAAATTTTTACCATCTTTACCTCATTTTAAATTGAATTTTTATCAATTTTTATCTCAATTTAAATCGAATTTTTATCAATTTTTAATCTCTATTTAAATTGAATTTTTAACTCATTTTAAATCTAATTTTTACCATTTTTATCTCCCTTTAAACTGAATTTTTACCTCAATTTAAATCGAATTTTTATCAATTTTTATCTCATTTTTAACCCAATTTTCCCCATTTTTTCCCCCTTTTATCCCCCCAAAACCCCCAAAAATTCCCATTTTTTTACCACTTCCGCCATCATTTCCCCCCAATAAAAAAACCAGAAATTTTTTTCCTTTTTTTTTATTATTTTTTATTTTTTTATCTCTTTTTTCCCTATAGATTCATCCTATAGATCCGTAAAAAAAACCGGAAATCGACCGAAAATTCCGAGTTCCTCTTCCAATTCGACGCTGAAAAAATCGACATTTTTTGGTGATAAATTCAACATTTTTGGGTCAAAATCGAAATTTTCTCTTCCAATTCGATGACAAAAAAATGGCGGAAAAATCGAAATTGAAAATCGACATTTTTGGTGATAAATTCAACATTTTTGGGTCAAAATCGAAATTTCCTCTTCCAGTTCGACACTGAAAAAATCGAAACCAAAAATTGACATTTTTTGGTAAAAAATTCGACGTTTTTGGGTCAAAATCGAAATTTCCTCTTCCGGTTGGACGACAAAAAAATGGCGGAAAAATCGAAATTAAAAATTGACATTTTTGGTAAAAAATTCACCATTTTTGGGTCAAAATCGAAATTTCCTCTTCCAATTCGATGACAAAAAAATGGCGGAAAAATCAAAACTGAAAATTGACATTTTTGGTGAAAAATTCGACATTTTTGGGTCAAAATCGAAATTTCCTCTTCCGGTTGGACGACAAAAAAATGGCGGAAAAATCGAAACCGAAAATTGACATTTTTGGTAAAAAATTCAACATTTTTGGGTCAAAATCGAAATTTCCTCTTCCGGTTCGATGACAAAAAAATGGCGGAAAAATCGAAACCGAAAATTGACATTTTTGGTAAAAAATTCAACATTTTTGGGTCAAAATCGAAATTTTCTCTTCCAGTTGGGCGACAAAAAAATGGCAGAAAAATCAAAATGGAAAATTGACATTTTTGGTAAAAAATTCAACATTTTTGGGTCAAAATTGAGATTTCCTCTTCCAAACCGCCAATCGGAAAAACCGGAACCGGAAGTGGAACCGGAAATGGAACTGGAACCGGAAGTGGAGCCGGAAGTAGAACCGGGACTGGGAGTAGAACTGGAAACTGAACAGGAAATGGAACCAAAACCGGAAATGGTGTCAAAAACCGGAACTGGAACCGGAAGTGGGACCGGAACTGAAAATGGCGCCAGAACCGGAAGTGGGACTGGATGTGGAACTGGAAACGGAACCGGAACCGGAAATGGCGGCAAAACCGGAAGTGAGGATCAATCCAATGGTTGAGGCTCGATGATGGTCATGGTGTGCAAGTCCTTGTCCAGGAACCGGAAATGGAACCGGAAATGGCATCGAGAACTGGAAATTGTGTCGGAACCAGAACCGGAAATTGCGTCAAAACCGGAAGTGGAACCAGAAGTGGATTCGGAAATGGCGTCGGAACCGGAAGTCGAACCGGAAATGGAACTGGCGATGTCAATCAATCCATGGGCACGGTCTGCAAGTCCTCGTCCAAGAGCCGGAGTGAACCGGAAACTGAACCAGAAATGGAACCAAAACCGGAAATGGTGTCGGAACTGGAACTGGAACTCGAACCGGAAATGGCGCCGGAACCGGAAGTAGAATCGGAAATTGAACCGGAACCGGAAGCGGCGATGTCGATCACTCCACGGGCACCATGTGCAAAATTTTGTCCAAAAGTTGGAGGGAACCGGAAACTGAACCGGAAATGGCGCCGAAACTGGAAGTAGGACCAGAAGTGAAACCGGAAATTGCGTCGAGAACCGGAAGTTCCACTGGAAATGGCGCTGAAACCGGAAGTAGGAGCGGAAGTGAGGCTCAATCCATGGGTTGCAGCTCGGAGATGGGCAAAACCTCGTCCAAGAGCCAGAGGGAACCGGAAGTGGTGCTGGAACCGGAAGTGGAACCAAAACCGGAAATGGCTTCCAAACCGGAAACTGAACCGGAAGTGGCGACGTCAATCAATCCATGATCATGGTACACATGACCTCATCCAAGATTTGCAGGGAACCGGAACCGGAAATGGCGCCGGAACCAGAAATGAAACCGGAAATGGCCCTGGAACTGGAACCGGAAATGGCGCTGGAAACGGAACCGGAAGCGGAACTGGAAGCGGTGACATCAATCAATCCATGGGCACGGTGCACATGACCTCGTCCAGGAGCCAGTTAGAACTGGAACTGGAACTGGAACCGGAAGTGGAACCGGAAGTGAAGCTGGAAATGGCGCCGGAACCGGAAGTGAGGCTCAATCCAGTTGTTGAGGTTCGATGATGGTCATGGTGTCCAAAACCTCGTCTGAGAGCCGGAGGGAACCGGAAACTGAACCGGAAATGGAACCGGAAATGGCGCTGGAGCCGGAAACGGAACCGGAAGCGGAAGTGGCCACATCGATCAATCCATGGGCACGGTGCTCGAGACCTCATCCAAGAGCCGGAGGGAACCGGAAGTGGAACCGGAAGTTGCGCCGGAATCAGAAGTAGAACTGGAATAGGCGCTGGAACCCAAAGTTGAACCGAAAACGGCATCAGAACCGGAAGTGGAACTGGAAGTGGAACCGGAAATGGCGTCGGAAACGGAACCGGAAATGAGGATCAATCCAAGGCTTGCAGCTCGGCAATGGGCATCGTGTGCAAGTCCTCGTCCAGGAGCCGGAGGGAACCGGAACCGGAAGTGGAACCAAAACCAGAAATGGTATCGGAACTGGAACTGGAACTGAAAATGGCACCGGAACCGGAAGCTGAAGCGGAACTGGAAGTGGCGATGTTGATCAATCCATGGCCACAGTGCTCAAGATGTCGTCCAAGATCCGGAGGGAACCGGCAGTGGAACCGGAAATGGCACCGGAAATTGCGTCGGGACCGGAAGTGGCACCGGAAGTGGCGATGTCGTTTAATCCATGGTCACGGTACACATGACCTTGTCCAAGAGCCGGAGGGAATCGGAAGTGGAACCGGAAATGGAACCAAAACTGGAAATGGCATCGGAACCGGAAGTAGAACCGGAATTGGAACTGAAAATGGTGACGGAACCGGTAGTGGAACCGGAAATTGAACCGGAAGTGGAACCGGAAGTGGCGATGTCGATCAATCCATGGGCACCATGTGCAAGACTTTGTCCAAAATTTGGAGGGAACCGGAAGTCGAACCAGAAATGGCAGTGGAACCGGAAGTAGACCCGGAAATGGAACAGGAAGTGGCCTCGGAACCGGAAATGAGGGTCAATCCAGGGGCTGTGGCTCGGCCATGGCCATGGTGTCAACAATGTCGTCTGTGAGCCGGAGGGAACCGGTAGTGGAACCGGAAATGGCGCCGGAACCGGAAGTGCTGCTCAATACAAGGGTTGTGGCTCCGTGATGGGCATTGTCTGCAAGTCCTTGTCCAGGAACCGGAAGTGGAACCGGAACCAGAACCGGAACCGGAATCGGAAATGGCGTCAGAAATGGAACCGGAAATGGAACCGGAAGTGGCGGCGTCGATCAATTCATGGGCACAGTCTGCAAGTCCTCTTCCAGGAGCTGGCAGGAACAGGAAACGGGACCGGAAGTAGAACCGGAAACTATGCTGGAACCGGAAGTCGAACCGGAAGTGGCTTGAGAACCGGAAGTAGAACTGGAAATGGAACCGGAAATAGCGTAGGAACCGGAAGTAATGTTCAATCCAAGGGTTGCGGCTCAGCGATGGGCACAGTGTGAAAGTTCTCGTCCAGGAACCGGAAGTGGAACCGGAAACGGGTCCGGAAACGGAACTGGAAATGGCACCGGAACCGGAAGTAGAACCGGAAGTGGAACTGGCGATGTCGATCAATCCATGGGCACGGTGTGCGATCCTCGTCCAATAGCTGGTGGGAACCGGAAATGGAACCGGAAGTGAGTGGTGCTGGAACCGGAAGTTACAGCCGGAAATGGCGTGGGAACAGGAAGTGGAACCGGAATTGGAACTGGAAGTGGAACCGGAAATGGCGTCAAAACTGGAAGTGGAGCCGGAAATTGAATCAGAACTGATGCTGGAACCGGAAACGGAACCGGAACCGGAACTCAATCCAGGGGCTGCGGCTCAGCAATGAGCACACTGTGGAAGTCCTCGTCCAATAGCTGGAGGGAACCGGAAGTGGAACCGGAACCAGAAGTGGAACTGGAAGCCGAAGTGGCGACGTCACTCAATCCATGGGGACGGTTCTCAAGACCTCATCCAGGAGCGGGAGAGAACCGGAAATTGGGCCGGAACCGGAAGTGGAACCAGAAATTTCGCTGGAATCGGAAGTAGGACCGGAAGAGGAACCGGAAATGGTGATGGAACTGGACGTTGAACCGGAAGTGGCGCCGGAACCGGAAGTGGGACCGTAAGTTGAACTAAAAACGATGCTGGAACCAGAAGTAGAACTGCAAATGGAACCGGAAGTGGCGCCGGAACCGGAAGTAGAGTCAGAAGTTGATCCAAAACCGGAAGTAGGACCGGAACTGAAACTGGAAGTGGCCTCGGAAGCAGCGCCAGAACCAGAAGCAGAACCGGAAGTGACGCCGGAACCGGAAGTAGACCCAGAAGTGCCGCTCAATCCAATGGTTGGGGCTCGGCGATGGGCACACTGTATAAATCCTTGTCCAATAGCTGGAGGGAACCGGAAATGGGACCGGAACTGGAACCGGAAGTAGTCTCAGAACCGGAAGTCGAACCGGAAATAGACCCGGAAATGGAACCGGAAGTAGCCCCGGAAGTGGAACTCAATCGAGGGGCTGGGGCTCGGCGATGGGCATGGTGTGCAGCACCTCGTCCAGCAGCTGCAGCGCGCGGTGCAGGTGGATCTCGATCCAACATGGCGTCTCCTTGATGCTCTGCCGGGGGTAGTCGGGCCCCCAGCCCTTGACGAAGCTCAGCCGGAGGATGCAGAGACGCCGCAGGTCGTCCACACCGATGCCCGCGGCGGCCGAGAGGCCTGGGAGGGGAGAGGGAAGGTCCTGGAAGGTTAATGGATGGCTAGGTCCTGGTAGGTTAATGCCCTGAGAAGTTTTGGTGGATTAGTGCCCTGCTAGGTCCTGGTAGGTTAAAGCCCTGATAGGTTTTGGTAGGTTAATGCTATGGTAGGTCCTGGTAGGTTAATGCCTTTGTAGGTCCTGGTAGGTTAATGCCTTAGTAGGTCCTGGCAGCTTAATGCGCTGATAGGTTCTGGTAGGTTAATGCTATCGTAGGTCCTGGTAGATTAATGTTATGGTAGGTTAATGCTATGGTAGGTCCTGGAAGGTTAATGCCTTCATAGCTTCTGGTACATTAATACTATGGTAGGTCCTCATAGGTTAATGCTCCGGTAGGTCCTGGTAGGTTAATGGTACTATAAGTCCTGGTAGGTTAATGTCCTGGTAGGTCCTGGCAGCTTAATGCCATTGTAGGTTCTGTCTGCTTAATGCTATGGTAGGTCCTGGTAGATTAATGCTATAGTAGGTCCTGGTAGGTTAATGCCCTGGTAGGTCCAGGTAGGTTAATGCCTTTGTAGGTTTGGGTAGGTTAATGCTATGGTAGGTCCTGGCTGCTTAAAGCCCTGCTAGGTTCTGGTAGGTTAATGCCCTCGTAGGTCCTGGTAGGTTAATGCTTTCATATGTTCTGGTAGATTAATGCCCGGCTAGGTCCTGGTAGGTTAATGTTATGGTAGGTCCTGGTAGGTTAATGCTATGGTAGGTCCTGGTAGGTTAATGCTCTGCTTTGTTCTGGCTGGTTAATGCCCTCATAGGTTTTGGTAGATTAATGCTATGGTAGGTCCTGGTAGATTGATGTTATGGTAGATTAATGCTATGGTAGGTCCTGGTAGATTAATGCTATGGTAGGTCCTGGTAGGTTAATACCTCAAACTCTCAAGGTTCTGGCAGCTTAATGGCCTGGTAGGTCCTGGCAGGTTACAGCCCTGCTAGGTCCTGGTAGCTTAATGCTATTATAAGTCCTGGTAGGTTAATGCTATGGTAGTTCCTGGTAGATTAATGCTATTGTAGGTCCTAGCAGCTCAATGTCCTGATAGGTTTGGGTAGATTGATGTTATGGTAGGTCCTAGTAGGTTAATAGCTCAACCTCTCAAGGTCCTGGTAGATTAATGGCCTGATAGGTTCTGGTAGGTTAATGCTATGGTAGGTCCTGGCAGATTAATGCCCTGCTAGGTTCTGGTAGCTTAATGCTATGGTAGGTCCTGGTAGGTTAATGCTTTGGTAGGTTCTGGCTCCTTAATGCCTTCATAGGCTCTGGTACATTAATGCCCTCCTAGGTCCTGGCAGCTTAATGCCCTGATAGGTTTTGGTAGATTAATGCTATGGTAGGTCCTGGTAGGTTAATGCTATGGTAGGTCGTGATAGGTTAATGCCCTGGTAGGTCCTGGTAGATTAATGCCCTGATAGGTTTTGGTAGATTAATGCCCTGATAGGTTGTGGTAGGTTAATGCTATGGTAGGTCCTGGTAGGTTAATGCCCTGGTAGGTCCTGGTAGATTGATGTTATGGTAGGTTAATGCTATGGTAGGTCCTAGCAGCTTAATGCGGTGATAGGTTTTGGTAGATTAATGCTCTGGTAGGTCCTGGTAGGTTAATGGTATTATAAGTCCTGGTAGGTTAATGCTATGGTAGGTCCTGGCAGCTTAAAGCCATGATAGGTTTTGGTAGATTAATGTTATTGTAGGTCCTGGCAGCTTAATCCCCTGATAGGTTTTCGTAGATTAATGCCCTGCTAGGTCCTGGCAGCTTAAAGTCCTGCTAGGTCCTGGTAGGGTAATGCCTTCATAGGTTCTGGTAGATTAATGCTCTGCTAGGTCCTGGTAGGTTAATGCCTTCTTAGGTCCTGGCAGCCTAATGCTATGGTAGGTCCTGGTAGATTAATGCCATGTTAGGTCCTGGTAGGTTAATGATTTGGTAGGTCCTAGAAGGTTAATGCCCTGCTAGGTCCTGGCAGCTCAATGCCCTGATAGGTTTTGGTAGATTACTGCCCTGGTAGGTCCCGGTAGGTTAATACCCTCCTAGGTCCTCGTAGATTAATGCCCTGCTAGGTCCTGGTAGATTAATGCTATGGTAGGTTAATGCTATGGTAGGTCCTGGCAGCTTAATGCTCTGGTAGGTTCTGGCTCCTTAATGCACTGATAGGTTTTGGTAGATTAATGCTCTGGTAGGTCCTGGTAGGTTAATGCCCTTCTAGGTCCTGGTAGGTTAATGCTATGGGAGATCCTGGCAGCTTAATGCCTTCATAGGCTCTGGTACATTAATGCCCTCCTAGGTCCTGGCAGCTTAAAGCCCTGATAGGTTCCAGTAGCTTAATGCTATCGTAGGTCCTGGTAGATTGATGTTATGGTAGGTTAATGCTACGGTGGGTCCTGGTAGGTTAATGCTATGGTAGGTCCTGGTAGCTTAATGCTATGGTAGGTCCGGGTAGGTTAATGCCCTGCTAGGTCCTGGTAGGTTAATATCTTGACTTCTCAAGGTCCTGGTAGATCAATGGCCTGGTAGGTTCTGGCTGCTTAATGCCCTGCTAGGTTCTGGTAGGTTAATGCTATCGTAGGTCCTGGTAGGTTAATAGCTCGACCATCTCAAGGTCCTGGTAGCTCAATGCCCTGCTAGGTCCTGGTAGGTTAATACCTGGATCTCTCAAGGTTTTGGCAGGTTAACGCTATGGTAGGTCCTGACTGCTTAATGCCCTGGTAGATCCTGGTAGGTTGATAGCTTGACCACTCGAGGTCCTGATAGGTTAATTCCCGGGTAGGTCCTGGTAGGTTAATGCTCTGGTACATCCTGGTAGATTAATGCTCTGGTAGGTCCTGGTAGATTAATGCCCTAACCTCTCAAGGTCCTGGCAGATTAATGGCCTGGTAGCTCAGGGTCCTGGTAGCTCAATGCCCTGGCAGCTCAGGGTCCTGGCAGGTCCTGGCAGCTCCGTGACAGTGCCCTGGCAGATCAGTACCAATGCTCTGGCAGGTCCTGGCAGCTCAGTGTTCTGGTACCTCAACACCCCGACACCTCAAGGTCCTGGCAGCTCAATACCCCGACACATCAAGGTCCTGGCAGCTTACTGGCTTGGTAGGTCCTGGTAGGTTAATGCCCTGGCAGCTCAATACCCCGACCTCTCAAGGTCCTGGTAGATTAATGCCCTGACCTCTCAAGGTCCTGGTTGCTTAATGCTATGGTAGGTCCTGGTAGTTTAATATCTTGACCACTCAAGGTCCTGGTAGATTAATGGCCTGGTAGGTCCTGGCAGCTTGGTATGGGTTGGTATGGGTTGGTATGGGTTGGTTGGTATGGGTTGGTATGGGTTGGTATGGGTTGGTTGGTATGGGTTGGTATGGGTTGGTATGGGTGGGTTGGTATGGGTTGGTATGGGTTGGTATGGGTTGGTTGGTATGGGTTGGTATGGGTTGGTATGGGTTGGTATGGGTTGGTATGGGTTGGTATGGGTTGGTTGGTATGGGTTGGTATGGGTTGGTATGGGTTGGTATGGGTTGGTATGGGTTGGTATGGGTTGGTATGGGTTGGTATGGGTTGGTATGGGTTGGTATGGGTTGGTTGGTATGGGTTGGTATGGGTTGGTTGGTATGGGTTGGTATGGGTTGGTATGGGTTGGTTGGTATGGGTTGGTATGGGTTGGTATGGGTTGGTATGGGTTGGTTGGTATGGGTTGGTTGGTATGGGTTGGTATGGGTTGGTATGGGTTGGTATGGGTTGGTTGGTATGGGTTGGTATGGGTTGGTTGGTATGGGTTGGTATGGGTTGGTATGGGTTGGTATGGGTTGGTATGGGTTGGTATGGGTTGGTATGGGTTGGTATGGGTTGGTATGGGTTGGTATGGGTTGGTATGGGTTGGTTGGTATGGGTTGGTTGGTATGGGTTGGTTGGTATGGGTTGGTATGGGTTGGTATGGGTTGGTATGGGTTGGTTGGTATGGGTTGGTATGGGTTGGTTGGTATGGGTTGGTATGGGTTGGTATGGGTTGGTTGGTATGGGTTGGTTGGTATGGGTTGGTATGGGTTGGTATGGGTTGGTATGGGTTGGTTGGTATGGGTTGGTATGGGTTGGTATGGGTTGGTATGGGTTGGTATGGGTTGGTATGGGTTGGTATGGGTTGGTATGGGTTGGTTGGTATGGGTTGGTATGGGTTGGTATGGGTTGGTATGGGTTGGTATGGGTTGGTATGGGTTGGTATGGGTTGGTATGGGTTGGTATGGGTTGGTATGGGTTGGTTGGTATGGGTTGGTATGGGTTGGTTGGTATGGGTTGGTATGGGTTGGTATGGGTTGGTTGGTATGGGTTGGTTGGTATGGGTTGGTAGGGGTTGGTTGGTATGGGTTGGTATGGGTTGGTATGGGTTGGTATGGGTTGGTATGGGTTGGTATGGGTTGGTTGGTATGGGTTGGTATGGGTTGGTATGGGTTGGTTGGTATGGTTGGTTGGTATGGGTTGGATGGGTTGGTATGGGTTGGTATGGGTTGGTTGGGTTGGTTGGTATGGGTTGGTATGGGTTGGTATGGGTTGGTATGGGTTGGTTGGTATGGGTTGGTATGGGTTGGTTGGTATGGGTTGGTTGGTATGGGTTGGTATGGGTTGGTATGGGTTGGTATGGGTTGGTATGGGTTGGTTGGTATGGGTTGGTATGGGTTGGTTGGTATGGGTTGGTTGGTATGGGTTGGTATGGGTTGGTATGGGTTGGTATGGGTTGGTTGGTATGGGTTGGTTGGTATGGGTTGGTTGGTATGGGTTGGTATGGGTTGGTATGGGTTGGTATGGGTTGGTTGGTATGGGTTGGTATGGGTTGGTATGGGTTGGTTGGTATGGGTTGGTTGGTATGGGTTGGTTGGTATGGGTTGGTATGGGTTGGTTGGGTTGGTATGGGTTGGTATGGGTGGTATGGGTTGGTATGGGTTGGTTGGTATGGGTTGGTATGGGTTGGTATGGGTTGGTTGGTATGGGTTGGTATGGGTTGG